AGGTTCCACCTGTAGGGGTGGGGTCAAGAACCTCAGGCACATAACTTGAACTGGGCAGACCAAGTGTTTCAGATCGTATTGACTCAACTGCGCTTGTAAAAACATGACTTTCCAGCCTTCCAGAGACTTCACTTAAATCTAATTGTAAAACGCGTTTTGCATAATATTTTGAATGTTATTTCACTTCTCACTGTGGTTATGTATAAACCTAAAACAAATGATTAACAAAAACAATCCTTCATTTATATGGGCTGATCTGCAGCCTTCTACTCAGCACCAGGAAATGTGCTGCTCAATCTCCAAGCAGTGACTCTTTCTTCTTTTCATCTAATTTTCCATAATTGCTATTTTTCTTCAAGTCCTCATCTTCAACTTATTCCTCCAAAGCCCACAAAATACAACAGGATTATGTTTCAAGGGGAAAATGAGTTATATATTTCTTCCTTTACGTTGTAATTAATTATATAAAAATATCATATTATTTATATATATCACATGTAATATGATTATATCGAATAAATTGTGGTTATTTCATATCCCTTTGTAAGTGAAGATTTTAAATATTATTATAATAATCAGGGTTTACTTGGGACTCATGATGGTGCTAAGGTGAGGATATGCCCTTTGAATGATCTTTTATATCACATGGAAATCTGTAATGGTATGCACAGGACACCAGCCTCAGCCTTTCATATGTGCTCAATGAATATTTTTTTGATTGAATAAATGAGCAAATATGGTGTTAGAAATGATTCTATTTCAGAAGGGTTAGCTACACCTTTCTTTCCCTTTAAGAAGTTAAGGTAAGTGTGTGTCGTTCATCATCCGGGTTCATGAGTCTCAGGTGGACAATTGAACCTTTGGGATCTAAAGCAGCAGCTGGCCTTACTGTGGTCCCCTCAGTACTTCCCATTCTACCTTCTTCATCTTTGCCGTATCAATGTACTGGAACTCTTAATATGTTTCTTTAAGGCAACTCTCGATTTCATTCATTTATATCACCCTATATATGAATGAACAACTAGACTCTTTAGCAAACATAAACACAGTATTATTAAATGCTTAGTTAAATGTTGCTTGCATTCCTGGAGCTAGAGACTTTTTCTCCTTTTGTTAGAAAGGGAGGTTATGAGGGGTTAGAAATAGTAAAGGCTTCTTTCCATTGAAACAACATTTTTTTTTAATAGAATCAAAGAGTTGAAGGAGAATTGAAAAGGAAATAACTTTCCATGTTATTGAAAAATATAGCACTTCTGTGTACCAGAACTTGGGAAATGCTGATCTAGTTCAACTTCCTCATATTATAGGACAGCAAACGAAGGCAGAGAGCAAGACAGTGACTTGTCCAGTTGTAGAAATGGGGCCCGACCCCACCTCCCGGCATTCTCCCCACTCCACCCTGGAACGGGGTTGCCTGATCTCTCCATCCACCTATGAAAAGATGAATGGCTACAGGAAACAAGAAAGGAAAGAGAAGTCCCAAGGCAAAATCCAGGGAGAAGAGGGGACGTGCTGGACACTGAGGGAGTGAACCTGGCAGAGGTGTGAATGGGGGATTGAGGGGACTATTGGGGAGAGGAGGTTACCATCTGTTATCTTGTCCCCACTCCCCTTTACAGACGAGGCAATGCAGGGCCAGAGAAGAAAACGACTCCACAAGGTCTCAGGACTTCTCACAGCTGAGGGAGGGGTCCAGCCCCCATCTCTGCCTCCCCAGCCTGCATTTATTATATGGCACCACTTCAGTTCTCCAGCTGTGACATCCTTTCTTGTTTGTAAACTCTAAAATGGTATTCATACCCAACAAGTATAAGGGCACTGGTATTTTAAATTTTATTATTCTCTTTAATTTTCACCCACAAAAAGAATTCCATCTTTATCCCTGCACTGGCTGTCCCCAGGGTCCTGCTTGGGGCTGGTTACTTGTCTCCACCCTCGAGATGCCCAGCACAAGCGGACAGTGCATCCTGGAATAATTCCGGAGTCTGCCCCGCCTCGTAACTCACCGCAAATCGCTTCCCACAGCTCTCGTTGCCACAGCACCCACAGCAGTCATTGTTCTTCAGGCCCAGGAACACCAGCGCAGGGAACAGCATCTACCAGCAAGAGAAGCACCTCAGAGTGGGTCTGGGATGTGAAGGGAGAGCCCGTGCCTGCCTGGCTGTGTGAGGGGGACACAACCGTGATTTGGGACTTGGTGGCCAAGGGGCATGGAAGGGAGTAAGAGAGCATGGCTAGTGGGGTGGATGAGTGCTATTGAGTATTTAGATGCCATTTGGCCTGACTGTAGTTTCAGTGGAGCAAGATTTCAAGATCTGACACCCTGAGGTTCCATTTAGATGGTGGGTTAGGAAAAGAAAAATAACTGTCCTCAATTGTCATAAAAAGTGAGTCTCTCTCTAAAGCAGAGGTTCCCAATCTCTATTGGAAACAACAGGTAAAGAAATCAGTGTGTGAGTGAAAGAAGAATCCACTGACATCTGCTTCTCTTGGTGGTTTTCAGTCAGTCAATTTGCTAGAAAGTCTATCCCCCCCGCCCCGCCACACACACACACCACAGCACTCTCTTGTTAGAATAAAGAAATTCTGTGGCCTTCAGTTTGGTTCATGGAACTTAACTGATTCATGAGACCTGCCAGCTCAAGTTTAAATTACTTAGTAAATTGAGTGGATAGGTCTTGTCAGGTCCTAATGGAGAAGGGGAAAATTAGAGCCCTGACTTTTCATCATGCAATACTTAGGGTTTTATTAGCAACTCAATATCTTCCTGGTCAATAAGTACCCAATTTTAAAAGGATAGGATCAAACTCTCCTTCAGGGGGATTTTAAGGCTTTAGTACTCACCAAGATTCCGTTTCCTAATATTCCTCCAAAAAACCAGACCTCTTGGGAAAGGTGTTCATTGTTTTCTACCACTTTTCCTCCAGGGAAAAACAACAGGATGTTAGCCAGGACGCCAAACACAGTGAGGGGAATGAGGGTGCCCCCCAGGCACTTGGCACAACCCCCAGTGCACATGCTGGGTCCGTACAGTACAGGTCTGCAAGAAAAGGCCCCTCACTGCCGCCTTCACAGGGTCTCTTCAAAGTTACCGGCCGGAGTGCCCTTGTAAATGTCCTCAGTTCAATCCGTATTTTGGAGCTGAGATGCAAATCAGCCTGTGAACTCTGTCCGTGGAGATGCTTCAGCTTCTTGAATGTAGCCGAACCTCCGTGGCGATAACATTTATACAATCTCCCTGACCTGGAGTCTTTTTTTTCTTTTGCACTCCCATAAATGAGATTAGGTTCAGAGCAATCATTTTGCCATGGAGACCAATAACCTCTGTTAATAATCCACCAGTGCAGACAAGACACTCACATTGTTGCAATCAAACATCAGGCCTGGAACAAACAGCCTTTGGAACCACTGCACCTTTAATCCCACAGGGCCCCTACCCAAATTAAGAAGTATTGCCCTCAGGCTTTTTATAAATCACCATAATTGAGTTACATCCTAGCTAAAAATCATGTCTCCAAAGCANAGGTTCTCTTTTCCAAAAGATGTCTTGTTGAGTAATTTTGGAAATTGCTGAATCATATAATGTTGAATAGGTTTCATTCCTGTCGTTCGTCTAAGAATCTTTGTGATATGCTAATGTGTGTGAACTTTCAAGAATAGGACATATTATGTATGCAGGAATATAAGGAAATTATTAGCTTTCAAATTATCCCTCAGAAGTGAAGGAATTGCTTTAGATTTGAGTCTTTATTTAAACTATCAGGCAATAGGACTCCTCAAATACTTCATTCGAACAAGAAAGTACTGTGTAGGGAAGACATTTGTCAGACATAACCCAATTAATGAGAGGCGAGAAAATTGTTTACAAATTTTTTTCTTAACACATTTATTAATTATTCTAGGAAAGGTGACCTCACAATTCTTAGTACTGACTATTATAGCTAATGAGCCTTTTAAAGGGCATTCTCAATGAGAACATTTAGTGTTCACAGTTGTGGGGATCTTTAATATTTACCTGCAAGAGGAATGTTTAAATATGGTCTTTGTCTTATGTGAATTGATATTTGTGACAAAGGGTGAAATTTCCACTGACAGCATCCTACATGGATACAGACGTGTATCCAAACAGGAACAAAAGAGAAGAGATGGGCTGTGGGAAATTTTGATGGCTCAATAGGTGTCTTTAGTAGTAGCAACAACGTTGATGTCCAAGAAGCACGAATATATTAAAAAATACTGAGTGGAAGGGAAAGGTCATATTTCCAAATCAACATATTAAAATTCTTTTATATTTTATACAACATGTGATTTAAAATATGAACATGTCACTGAAAGTTTATACATTAATGTTAGTCAAGAACTTTTTTTGGAAACTTCTTACGGAAAACAAAGCGATTGTATTCTATTAATTACTGCCTTATATTTGGGTATATGTGGTAATTTGCAGAGTTTTCCAATCTTGTTGGAGCCTATAACTTTTTTCTGTGAGTTCTTGCAAGAACACACTTTGGGATATGCTGCCCAAATTTAGTGAGAGCTTATCTAACTAGTTTTCAGTCTCTGAGCCACCTCCATGTTCCAATCAGATTGCTGTTCAGTTAGACACAACTGGTATAACTCTAGGAATGGCCAGAATGTTCCAATACAGCCACTGAAAACTTACACTTAGGTCAGTTATAATATTATTTCTTGCTTTTTCAGAGCAAGACTGAGCGGTCTGGAAACACTTGTTGACATGTGGTTCTTCATGATAGCATGGATTATCTCAATGAAAAACAGAGTTTAGAAGGGAGGGTCTCTCACATCTTAAAAATGGTTGAAAGTGTTCCAAATCCAGAATTGCCACTAAATAACTGGTTAAGTATTCTTATGTTTTTGTGAAAAAGGTCTCAAAAAACATCTAGTGCAATCATCTCACTTTCTAGCTAATAAAAATAGCTCCATTCCATGAGAGCTTTAGATGCATAATCTCATTTAATCCTCTCAGCAAACATGTGAGGTGGGATTATTATCTACATTTTCCAGGCAGGAAACTGAGACTACTAGAAATTAACATGATTGCTCTAAATCAGAATAAAGCGCTAGGACTGGGAAGAATCCATGGCCACTTGCTTCCTTCCACAGCCCATGTGCTTAATTTGTGACTTTCTCGAATCACACATAGAGAAGGTGGCTAAGGTAGATTAAGAACCAGGGTTTCCTCCTCCCAGCCCATTGTCCTGTGCCCTTCACCTCTATACACACACACACACACACACACACACACACACACACACACATCCATGACACCAGATCCTCTGTTATTTGCAAGGTGCCCTGTGAATGGCATTGGTTCTCTCACAGAAATAAAACAAAATATAAGGAAAAAATATCCTCTTGCTTACTTGACCTTCTGATCTTGAGTTCTAATTACTAGTCAGGAATCATGAAACGATTGGTTGTTAAAACTATAATAGTATATAAAATTGTGTTAATGCAAAAGAAAGATTACATTTACAGGAAGGCAGTTTGGAAGTCTGAGGAGACCTGAGTTCCAGCCATATCAGCACCACCCAGGCTCCCACTTTTCTGGCCTCAGCTTCCTGTGATAAATAAAAGAAAGAGGTGGAAGGTTCCAGAAGGTCTCTTCAACTAAACCAACCCAGGATTTCAACATCTGCTGGTTAGTAGTGAGAAGAGAAATCTGACTTGTGCTAATCTACTGTATGAGCTGAGTAAAGGATTTAGACATCACTCCTGGAATATTTCAGCAGGCAAATATTTAAAGACACAAAAAATGAGTACAAATGCAAATATTCTCATTTTAGGCAGGTCTGAGTAAATGTGTATGTCAACTCGAGGAAACCAGGTTGATATAAAATCAGTGAGATGGTTTATCCCTTTACCAAAGAGTCCCTAATGTGAACACCTATAGACCAGCACTGTCCATAGAAATATCATGTGAATCATACATATAATTCAAATTTTTCTAGTAACCACGATTAAAAAGGTAAAAAAAGTGAAATTAATTTTAATATATTTTCTAACTCAACATATCCAAATATTATCATTTGAACATGTAGTCAATATAAAAATTACTAATGAGATATTGTATATTTTTTCTTTTGTACTAATCCTTTGGAATCTAGTGTACATTTTATACTTATGGTAAATCTCAGTTTAGATTAACCACATTCCACATGTTCAACAGTCACATGTGGATAGTGGCTACTATATCGGATAGCATAGTTTAGGACATTTGAAAAATGAATTCGGGGTAGTAAAAGTTTTAAAAATGCATGGATATGGTCTGTGCTGAATTCATGATTATGATTACTATCAGGAGTGGGGGAAATTTGAGAAAGGAGAGGTACACAGTGACTCTCAATTGAATCAAAATGTTTTATTTCTTTGTAAAATGATCTGAAGAAAATATGGCATCAAATTATAACTTCATAAAGTTCCAGATGGTATGTTCTGTTTTTATATTCAAATTTGAAATATTTCACCATAAAATGAATAAAACAAACACCCCAAACTGATTTTTCATAGCTTTTCCAGATGAACCACACAAGGTAAGGTACCCTTTATGTCACTTTGCTTTAAGTAATTTTTGGTTCAGAAAATAAAAATTTCCAAATTACTGCTCAGAGATATCATCAGTCTTAAAACCAGTCTGGAATAACTTTAATTTATCATAAGTTTCAAGATAAAAAATTTTCATGTTAAAAGAAAAGTTACTGAGGGCCGGCCGAGTGGCGTGATGGTTAAGAATTGGCTTGGAATGGACGCCAGAGGGCCTCGGTTCGGATC